TGGACTTTGGATGAACTGTTTCCAAACCCCCTTGGAGTGTCGCTTTGGCAGCCAGGGCCAACACCATGAATGCCACAAGAACACAGCTGGAAAAACCGGCTCTTCACGGAGGGCGCAAGTCCCCCCAGACACAGGCGACAAGTTCTGCCATTGTAACAACCGAGCTGTCAAGCGACAACCCCCCCGATCGGCCGCCTTAGTGACATGTCTTTCGGTAGGTGCCGTGGTGGGCATCACTGGGGATCGAGTCCAGGCTCACGCTGCAGCCATGCTCCCGGGGGGCTGTTTACGGCAGATGTAACACTCCCCTCTGCAACACGTGACCCCTCCCTCTCGAAAAAGGCCTCGATTTGCCTTTTCTAAACCACCTCGCAGTTTGCAGAGTCACCGACCCCCAGGCTTTGTCACGGAGGGCACCAGACGCTTGGTTCGTGCTTTAGTGGGGTGTTTTGGCACCGCCCTCCTATCCTCCCACCAAAACCCTTAATCACTACGTAGGTGCCCCCTCATGCGTCCCCCCATTCCTCTGGGTGGCTCCCCCTGGAGCAGCTTTATTCCCCAGCCCTGGATGGGAGGCCGATACAGAAACAGCGGCGTGATGTTAGTGAGCGCTGGTGGGGAGGGCTGTTGGAAGGGAAATGCTGGGTTTATTCTCCATCTGCTCTGCAATCCCCAACCCCTGATGGGTGTTGGGTTCCACTCACCTGCTGGTATCCCTGTCCTCTCCCAGCCCCGGCTTATTTACACTGTAAGCAGCCTGAGGCAGAGACTCCTCAGTACTGCCTGTACAGTGCCCGGCACAATGGGGCCTGGATCCTGGTGCACCTGCTTCCTTTCACTGGGGTGCGTGTGTGTGTGTGTGTGTGTGTGTGTGTGTGTGTGTGTGTGTGTGTGTGTGCGCACACGCGGCCGCGATTCTGTGGGGCCCCCGGGTCAGGTCCATTGTTTGTTTGTTTTTCAGTAGAAATGGAAGCAAATTTTCAGGGTGCAAATCTGATTACTCTTGCCCCCGTGTAAACCCGGGATAACTGGTGTCGCACCAGCGCAGAGCTAACGTGTCTGAGTCAGCCCCTCTGTGTCCTTTTTGGCAACACTTCATAGAGTTACTTTAGGTAGGATTCTATCCTGGGAGGCTGACTGACGGCTGGCAGGCCGCCAAATCTTCCTGACTAATTTTGTGGCTGTTACATCAATTTGACTGCTTTCCACAGCTTAAAAAGCACCAAATAGCAGCTCCCCTGACTGAATTACTTGGTGAATCTCATTACGTGTGAATAGGTAGCAAATGGCTCCAGGGGTAGCATGCGAGTTAGCTGATGTTAGAAATATTTAACCTACGCAGACACATCACTGACACTCCTGCAGTCCAAGGCAGGGAATGTTTCTCAGGAAGTAGACATCTGACTCCTTTCATTTGCATATAAATAAAAAAAGAGCAAGAGTGAGAGAAACCAAAAACTGTCGACTTCAGAAATCACATCCTGTGCCACCAAGGCATTAATAGTGGGTCCAACGAGCATGGATTTTTTCATGCTTCTAACCTGCATAATGACCTACCAGAACATAGCTACCCTTTCGTGGTCCAGTGGAGATGCTTGTGCTGGAAACTTGTCCATCTGCAAATGTGAATATCCTGATAGAATTTTTTTTTTAAATCTATTGGCCAATCCACCTCATTCAATCACACATTGAACCTCTCTTGTCCAGCACTGTCTGGTCAGCAACATCCCTGGTCCAGCATGATTTCAGTTCGCCGGGTGTCCACTTAGCATGGCTGTGGCCAAGTTTCCCGTGGTCCCATAATGTCTGTTTTCAGCCCCCAGTCCTGAATCTCAGTGTCTGTGCTGTGATTTAGCTCTATGAGCCCAGAAAGCAGTGGCTGTGTTGGTGATGCTGCTAGACAATATGGACCTCCCATGGTTCTGCAAACTCTCTGCTCCCCACGGGTGCCGGACTACAGAGGTTCACCCTGTAGAAACACTCTTGAAGGATGAAGGCTGGGCCCTGGCGCTGGAAAATCCTGGCTTTGTTGAGAGTAGATATTTCTGGGAGTGGTTCATTTTGTGCTGCACTGATGAGAGGCCATTGATGCCAACGCTGGGTTCAGCCGACAGCCCAGGGCAGCGGACGGCATCTTCTTGAATAATTCACCATCTTGGGGCATTGAGGGGGAAAGGAGGGAAACGGTTCCCTCCTGGGGACCCACATACTTCAGGTGGGATGCTCCTGACTGTTTCTGCTGTGATGTCCATAGAGCTGCCCAGCAGAAAGAAACATTAACGCCCTCAGAGCAATTCTACTGTAGATACATTCCCAGCCAGCCCACCTTGCCAAACATCACCAGGCCTCTGGGGTTTGCTTCGAATCCCAGACTTCAGTGCATGTAAACATGACCAGAGTGACTCCGATTGCAGGAGTAATGCCGCGGGTGGTACACAGTGCGGAATCAGGCCCAGCTTTGAACTACTGCCACCATCAAGCCCTTAATCCTCCCGTTTCTTTCAATCTACACAAAATGCCGTGGTGAGAGCGCTGCTCCTGTTGAAATCATTGTGTACCAGGCGGCAAAGTGTTTCTGAGAATCAGGCTATTGATTTAGCTGCCAACACAGATAACCTCAGTGTGAAAATATTGGTCTGTAGCTTGAAGTAAGGTTGTGGGTGATTTTAAGCAGCCCTGAAGATGTGTTAGATTGTCCCAAAGCTTTGTTTCCCTCTTGCGCTGAAGGTCCGGAGTGTGCCAGATATGTTCTAATAGGTCAAGAGCCGTGATTATGTATATCACTGCTGGGGGCAAATAAAGATGAAGTTGTCCAAAAGATAACGAGTCCTAGCTTAAGACTGCTGCCTGACAGTGAAAAGTCGTGTAATCATGAGAACCCTTTTCCATGTTGCAAGAGTGAGTCAATGCCAGGCCGTGTGTGAAACCTAAGAGCTGTTATGTACAGTCACGTGGCTGTTATGTATAGTCACTGAATCCTCAAAAGCAATCTCTTTTCAGATGTGATTGTATCTCTCCTAAACTATTCCACCTTCCGCCCCTGTGGAGCTATCCATGCTTCCTACTGGCCTTGGTCAGGGGAGGCTGCACCCCAAAGTGTGTGTGTCACACACACACTCACACTCCAGTGAAATCAGGTGTTTGGCAGCACAAGTAAAAGTTGTGTGTTGTGGCATGGACAGCAGATGACAGCAACAACTTTTTCTCGTGCATCTGAAACCAATGGGATTGCAGCTGCGCTGGAGACTAACAGCGATCCTAATCCTCATCTCCTTCGCCGGGGCTGAGCCCTGCTAAGGAACTTTCCATGGTGCACAGTGTAGCGGCAATCTGTGTGTGACAACAAGATACTCCCGTTCGGCTCCAAGAACTTCATTGTGATTCTACCAACTTTCTGCCTCATGCCAATGAGGGAGATGACATTGTCCCGCATGGCTGTTCTGCCGTCTTACAAATCGACTGTCACTCATCTCACCCAATTACATCTCCTGCCCTGAACGTTGCAAAGAGCTGTTCTTGAAGTGCTGGGGAAAAGTTGAACGCCATCGGCGTGTGGCAGCACGTCACAAGCTGCATGTTACTCACTCTGCCCCTATGGGAGAGGTGACTACATCACACACATGGCACTGCATTGGCTCAGAGATGAAGTTTGAAAATTCATGCATATTTTGGTGTGAGTTTTCCGGGTCCCTATTTTAGATGCAGATGCAGATGCAGTTTTGGCACACACGATGCTCTTCCGGATAAAGCACTAGAAAATACACTGCGGGGAATCCTGCATTGATCCTTTCCCTTCTGTCAACACTTGTCTGTGCTTCTAGTGAAAATGGGTTGTGTTTGGTCTTTCAAACAGAAAGACCTTTTTTCCCCTTTCTGTGGGGAGAAACAGTTCTCATTCTGGTAACTACGTGCTTATACTTCCGGTTTCTATGACACCGGCTGAATTTCTACAGAACATGCAGGAAGATAATAATAATTTGTTATGGCTTCTTGGCCCCTGAAAAGGAAAGGAGGGGATGCGAATATGCCATGCCAAGACTTCGGCAGCGATGCAATTGAGGATTTCCTCGCAAGGAGATCCAAGTATCTGTGTCTTTTTGCTCTTTGCTTAATGCCGGTTAGTGTGCAGGGAGTCTACCTGTGGGTGGGGAAGAGGCAGGGGAGTTTGCCACCAAAATGGCAGAAAAACTCAAACCCTGGTACCCATTCAGAAATGTGTTAAAATAGGTGAACGTCTCCGCAGCCATGGGAGCTAGGGAAGCAAACCTGTAACCTCTGGGAGTGCTGGAAAGTTTGTCCGTTTCGTTTCCTCATTCTGGAAGTTGTTGCTATGGTAACAGGGCAACAGTCATATTTAAGAACAGAAAAAAAAAAACCAACTTTTTGCCTGAGAAACCAAGCAGAACGTGGTGTCTCCCTCTCCTCTTCCTCATGCGCATTCAGTCCTCAGTGAGCCAGACCTCCTAACGGGAAACAGGATAAACCCCCTCCTTCCCCCTCCCCCGGAGGATGCCATCTTGGTGGGTTCCTTGTGTTTCTGGCAGCAGACGGAGCCCTTTGTCACCACCCCATCCTTAAAAATCCAGGGTCCAGCATGCCCCAAGGCTGACAACTGCCAGTGCTCTATGGGTCTATGCAGACCCCATGGAGGAGACGGTAAGGGCCAGACCTTGCTATTTTCTCAAGGGACCTTACCCCTTCTCACAGGGAGGAGGAGGCCAGTAGGGACCCTCAGGCCAGCACTACCCAAAGGGCCTTTGGGATCCTGCTGAGGGAGGGCACCAGTGGCCGGGTAACCTCTCCTGTGGCTGGAAGAGACAGACTGGAAAGTGGTAGGACCAACAGGGGAACTTTGCAGCACAAGCCAAAGACGGGGGGAGTAGGTGTTAGCGACGGGTGTTGCTCCCCCTCACCAAGGAGAGGGACAGAAAAGGGCATCGCGTCCTCTGCCCCTGCCCCCGCCTTTATCCTGTCTGAACAATCGCTATGAAGTCACCCACCGAATTTATAAAGGCACACGTCGTGTTTAGGCCTCTGGCGTCACTTGGTGTTCGCCGGATTGTACTTATTGGGGTTTTATTGCAACACAGCATCGGGGGGTTTTTCTGTTTCAGGCATCGGCACTTCTGCGATGACTGGCAATTCGGTATCCTTCATGCCCTCTGTACGGGCAAAAGCCAGCAAAATATGCCCCCACTTAGTCTCGGCAGGCAGGAGCAAATATGCTGCCGTTTTAACAGTCACATGAAGAATTTAACATAGCCCGAGAGTATTTACACCCCAGCAGGCCCTTGCTTTGCAGAAATCGTGTCTTGGCCATCTTTGTGTCAAGTTGTGGGCTTCTCTGGCAGCACATAAAGGAACCGTCTCACCTGCTCAGAATCCGGCCTGGCTGTGAACTGCTCACAATGGAGCCAGCATTGGAGTTCCTGCTGTAGCAAGTGACTTCCCACCTCCCCAGAAACACAAGTAAGGGCGGTGGCTAGCAAGAATGATAGCTCAATCGATTGGGCGCTCCCTCCCCCAAGCTTCCTTCCAGCAGGGTGCTGGAAGACAATGTAGAATGACTGACTGGGAAGCTAATAGAAACACATTTGTTATTTTTTTGTGGTCTTTGACAGCATGGGCTGCAGAGGGAAATTCTCCGATCTTCTGGGAAATGTACAGCGTCAGCGCCTTATTGTTGCCTTTTGAGCAAGAACACTGGGGCCCCGACTGACATAATGACAGATTATTGTTCTTGTTAGGTGCTCCTTTCTCAGAGCCGGCATCCATACGCAGCTTGTCACCGGGCCGTTACAAGGGAGATGTGCTTATTTCTGTGCGTCTTATCCTCGGTGCATTGCTGTTCCAGGCTGGAGTAGACATTTCTTCCCAGGCCTGATTTCTATTTGAAATAATAAGAAAGAGGAGAGTTAATACATCATTCGGTGACCTGGCTTTACAAATCAGCCGCTTATGGAGGGTGCTTGAGGAGCGTCCCTGGGAGAAGGTTCAAAGCTCCGACATGGCACTCAAATTGCAAATCCCTCCCTAATGGGACTAACAGATCAATGCAGCTGGCTTTCATGCTATTTTCCATCAGATTTTAATGGCTTTCGCCTCATCTCCCATCCATTTTACAGCAGCAGGACGTCCCCATCTTCAGTCGAGCCACCTTGATGCAAAGTCGCACTCAACCTGTGTTCTCCACTGAATTTGCTTTATTTCATAGAATCATAGAATCCCAGGGCTGGCAGAGACCTCAGGAGTCACTGAGTCCAGCCGCCTGCCCAAAGCAGGACCAACCCCACTCAATCATCCCAGCCAGGGCTTTGTCAAGCCGGGACTTAAACACCTCTAGGGATAGAGATTCCACCCCCTCCCTAGGGAACCCAGCCCAGTGCTTCCCCATCCTCCTAGGGAAATAGTTTTTCCTAATCTTCTACCTAGACCTCCCCCACTGCAAATTGAGCCCATTGCTCCTTGTTCTGCCATCTGCCACCCCTGAGACCAGCCTCTCTCCATCCTCTTTGGAACCTTCCTTCAGGGGAGTTGAAGGCTGCTATTGAATCCCCCTTCATTCTTCTGCAGACTAACAAGCCCAAATCCCTCAGCCTCACCTCATTTTAAGAGGAATAAGGGATCTTTCAGAAAAGGCTTTATTTTCCGAAAGATCCGCGTCTAGACTGGCGCTTTTTTCCGGCAAAGCTCTGAGCCGGAAAAAAGCAGCAGCCATTTTTATGCTAATGAAGCGGGGGAGATTTAAATCCCTGCTTCATTTGCAATTGCGATATGTCTAATTTGCATCCCTTTTACGAAAAAGGGATGCAGTCTAGACACAGCCCAGGTGTGGCTTCCCCAGTACCGAATAAAGGGGAATAATCACTTCGCTAGATCTGCTGGAAATGCGTCTCCTAATGCAACTAATATGCCCTTCACCTCTTTGGCTACAAGGGCCCACTGTTGACTCATATCCAGCTTCCCATCCACTGTAACCCCCAGGACCTTTTCTGCAGAGCTGCTACTTAGCAGTCGGTCCCCAGCCTGTAACAATGCTTGGGAGACTTCCTTGTTGAACCTCATCAGTTTTCTCTTCGTCCAAGCCTGCAATGTATTTAGGTCGCTCTGTGCCCGATCCCTTCCCTCCAGCGTATCTACTTCTCATCCTAGCTTAGTGTCAGTTGCGAACTTGTTGAGGGTGCAACTCATCCAAGTCATTAATGAAGATGTTGCACAAAATCAGCCCTAGAATTCACCTTTGGGGCACTCCAATGGAAACCGACCGCCAACCAGACATCGAGCCGTTGATCACTACCCATTGGGCATGACAATCTAGCCAGTTTTCTGTCCTCCTCACCGTCCATTTATCCAATCCATACTCTCTTAACTTGCTGGCAAGAATATTGCGGGAGACCATTATCAAAAGCTTTGCTAAAGTCAGGGTATATCCCATCCACTGACTTCCCCATGTTCTCAGAGCCAGTTACCTGGTCACCGAAGGCAATCAGGTTGGTCAGGCATGACTTGCCCTTGGTAAATCCGTGTTGACTATTCCTGTTCACTTCTCCCTCTTCCAAGTGCTTCAAAATGGATTCCTTGAGGGACTAAGGAGAAGCTGACTCGCCTCAATTAACCTTATTGTCCAGGGATAGCTGTAGCATGGAATGGAAACCCAGTCACATTCCTAAAGTCTGGGGGATTTTCCAATAAAGGATATCTGAATGACAGTTTGGAAAGCTATAAAAATAGCGATATGATCCAGGCTGCTGATAGCTAGTATATTTACCGGCTCGGGGGCATAAAAGAAAAAAGAAGAACATATCAATAAAAATACCAAGACAATTTATACCCCTGCTGTTGAATGTCAGAGAATTCTCTGAACTTTGTGCTCTTTGAATATACAGCCAGGGTTTGAACAGTTTTGCTGGATGGTTAGAGGAGGAATCAATAATGGTTGATATATTGATCTATAAAGAGCGCAGTGTTCCCTCTGATTTTTTACATCCACATGTGAAATACATTTTGTTATGTGCACAGAGAGATGTGCACCACTATTAGAAACACATTCTGCTGTCTGGGGCACTCTGCTAATCAGCTGGGCGGCATTTGAATCTCTCTTGGGTGGCCGCCCAGGGACCACTGAATGAGCGGGAAGCTAATCCTGTAACAGCCCACTTCCAGGGCTACCAATGAAAGGAGAGGGTGGGATATTATGGGATGAGTTGAAGCTACATTTCCATAGCCCAGCCCGGTTCACTCTGGGAAGGCTTGCTCTCTGGGACAGAGCACTGCCTTTCTGTTCTGCGTTTGCCCAGAGCCTGGAGTGAAGGGTGTTCTGTCCCAGGGGGGAGGCACTGCCGGGACGGCGATCCCCTGAATCCAACCTTTGCTTCTTGGGCCCAAGGAAAAGTGATTCTGAAGGAGATGGGGAGGGGGACTTTTCATTGTCTGCCATGCGCATTTGTTTCCAGTTCCCCTGCCGCTGGTTATGACCAGCAGGGCCAACAGCCACTATGGGCCCCTGGGCAAGTGAGGGGGGGCAGATCTACACCCCAGGAAGGCATGAGGCCATGGGTAGAGGGGACAGGGCTGGGGAAGCCAGGCCTCAGAGCCACACGGAGCACCCGGTGCGCCCCTCCAGCGATGATTTAAAAGGTCGGGGGCTCTGGGTGCCACTGGGAGCCCCCAGCCCCTTTGAAAGGCCAGGTCTCAGAGCAACTGCCCCCTTTACACTCCCCTGCCACCTACCATTCGCAGGCCTGGCCGTGTCTCAGCACTGCCGTGAACTCGGAAGCCATCTTTGCTTGGGGGGAAATCCTGCTGTGTATTTTGCATGACAAAAGAAGGCTCCTTTACTTGTATTCAGAGAAGATAAGCTGTCCCCGATGCTCGCAAATAAATATTAAAGTTAGCTGAAGGCGAGCTGATATGCTCTGGGGGAAAGAGCTTTATTCCCTTGGCTGACGTGACACTGCAAAATTCAGTAATTGCCTCATCAGCGATAAATTACCCCTGGATTAATCCAGGGCCGCATTATGACTTTCGTGGGCCCTAGGCACTATTGCCTTCATGGGCCCCTTCCTCCATAAAAAGAAATATTAAAAATTATTTTTGATATAACTTTAAATACTTCAAAAAAAAATCTGTTTTAGGCAAAATTTAATAGATTTTCGTGGGCCCTAAAAGTTTCATTTTTTTCTGATGTGAGAAAAAAATTAAAACATTTTCTTCAACCCTAAAAGTTCTTTTTTTTCTTCTGATTTTAGAAGAAATTTCCATTTTCGTGGGCCCCTAAAAGTATCGTGGGCCCTAGGCACTGTGCCTAATGGATAAGTCGGCTCTGGATTAATCGACCGGAAAGTCTTCCCACAGGGTGGGGTTTTTTCCCACCGGGCTGGCTGTGTATGCGTCTCTCTGGATAGGGGAAATGGGTAGGAGCTAAACAGACTCCCCTCCTATGCCCAACAAGTCGCTGTCCACAGCCAATTCTCCCAGGCGCCCATCCCCTGGTGTCTCTCCACAAGACTGGATTTCCCTGCCACTGCTGGTGGGTTCACCCCTCACCCTGTGCAACTGCAACCCTCTGGGCCAGACCCCCAGCCGGTGGGCATGTGCCTCCATGTACCTCCCCCATCCACCTCAGTGCGGTAGCCTCTGCTCTGAATGAGAAGACCACGTTGTGACTTTCAAAGCCACGTTATGCTGGAGGAGGCGGGCGGGGGCTTTGCCCCCCCCCCCGGGGGGTCTGCACACGTGGCAACTGCTACCACCGGGGCAGGCAGCCTCCCACCCGCGGGCCACGTGCAGCCCCTCGGGGTTCTGAGTGTGGCCCATAGGACCGTTTCTTTCCCGCTGCCCACGCACAGGGATGTCAGATTCTGCAGGAGCCCATCTGTGGAGCTTTTTCCCTAGCAGTACAACTGAAGTGACCCGCACATAAAGCCAGGGCCTGTGCAGGTTGGTGAGGGCGGACTGCACACAACAGTGACTGGCAGCGCCGGGCGCTCCCTCTGCAGTCAATCACAGCACGGCGCCGATGCAATTGGCCCACCCTGCAATTTCTAGGTGCGCAAGCGCCGTGAGCAAAACTGCCCTCTCCTGGGAGACTGTCTTGGTTAGGACAAACTTGCAGCCCGCTGAGATAAAGCAGAGCCTCTGCTGTGACCCACTCACTAGCCTGGGTTGCCCATCGCTGTGCTAACGCCTTTCCAGGGATGCAGCAAATATCCCCCCCATGCTCCAGATTCCCGTGCTGTGAACTTTGCCCTCTTCAGTCTGGTCTGACCTGGGGTGGGAGGGCTCTGCCATTTGTGGTGCAAATCACACCCATCCCCCACCCCCAGCAAGGTGTGCAAAGAGCAGGTATTTCTGTTCACTGAGCAAGTGTGCAAACCACACCCCCTTCTCCCCTCCCACCCCGGTGTGCCCTTCCCGCAGGGGGGAGCCGGCATCTGGCTCAGTTTCTCCCACTTCTGCTTGCTCCTTTGCTTGTGTGCCCTAACGGCAGCTGGGAATCTGCGCCCAAACTCCAGTAGCCATTCCTCCCCCGCTCCCATCTGGGGAAGGACCCTACCAGCCTGTGGGCTCAGTTAATTCACTAAGGCCTTCCTAGGACCCAGAGCCATGTGCAATAGAAATGCCGGGTAAGTCAGGGAGAGCAGGCTGCGCCCTGATCTGGTGTCCTGCAGAAGGACCAGGAAGGAACCTGGCCTCGCAAAGGCACGACACGGTTCAAGAAGAAATTGCAAGGGACCCGTGCACTGGTGGGGTATGCAAGATGGAGACTTCCCTCCCTGGAGATGGCTGCAACACCTGGGCTTAATGAAGGACAGCGTGTCCGCTGTCACTCGCAATCTCCTGGGTTGGGTGGATTTATGGGCGAGCCAGGTGCAACGTGCTGTCAGC